ATGCAGAAATTCCTTTGATGTAACTGGGAGCCCTGTGCGAAGATGGAGGGTTTATCATGGCCCTTTGAACGCATGTGACATGGCAATTTGTCCAAGACATATTCTCATGCAGGAACAATGGGAACCCATTGTGGGAAAATCTAGGGCCAAACACTGCACAGAACTGACATCAATAGGACTGAACACAGTGTGAAGTTATGGCACAATCCGATGTATTAGCTGTTTGGTGCCAGTGGGGTTTTTATGCATCCACTACTCTTAGCATTGATGGCAGAGAGTGTGTATAGTATCGTCCTGAAAAAACACCGGTCTTGTGGCAAGAGGATGAAAGGAAGATATCTCAAGAGTCAAAGGGACTGTTTTAATTGGATACATGTGGACAGAGTCCAATTCAAAGCTCATGGAAAACTGTAGAAGTAATCCTGATGGCTTTTGCATGAGCCCCACTATGAAATCTTCGGATTAGGATTTGAAATAGAGTCAGTGAGCACAGAAGCCACTGTCTTACCGAATAAAAAGACATGATGTAGTTGTGCAATTGAGCATGCTCTTTTCAATCAAAGCATCTCCAGGCTCTTTTTTTTCTCCTCATTCTTTCTTAATAAGGCAAGTTTTTCTGACCTTTACATGGCCTCTCACAAGAGACTCCCTTAAAGAATAAAGTTCTAAGCCCCAGCTCATCTCCTACAGAAACCTAATTAAAAAATATAAACAATTTCAAAAAGAGACATAAAACTTACCCCATCTCCTTATTTAGACAGCAATTCCACCAGTGTTGTTCTAGCCCTTTGGCTATAACAGTGGTCACATTTCCTTTGCAACCTTTCCTTGGGTTCTTAATTTCTAGACACATATAAATTGCATTCATTCTTTTAGCACAGCACAGAATAATGCAGTGGAAGACAGGAGGGATTGGTTTGAAAGTCCTGGAGTTTATGAAAGGCATGTGAGATAAGAAAACGTCAAGGAAAACAGATCATGGGCAGAAGCAGATGTTCAGCTTATGGCTACATCTTTGATCCTTTCTTCTTTGCATCTCTCTCACACAACATGTACACAGACAACTTTGCAAGTGTGCAGAAGTGAGGCGCATCATGGATTCATAGAAAAGATGGGTTTGTAAGAGGACTGAAGGAGGGCACAGAGTCAGTTCTTGCACTGTTTCCACAAGAGAAAGCAGGTCTTGTCAGCTCGATGGCGATCACTACACAGTACCTAGCCTGCATGTATAGCTATCGAGCCAAGCAAATCTGGGTGAACAGCACTACTAACCTTGAAGGAATATTTCTGTGCATGGAAGAGAGAATTGCTAAGAACAATACCTGTATCACAGCCTGCAGACCTCTGCAGCAAAGACCTAGGCAGAGACCTTGAACAACGCGGTCGGATGATTTATATCAGGAAGAGGATCTGGCTTTAAACAGCCAGAGGAAGAGACTTTTGAACATAAACAACATAAACATTTAAAATTAGTTCAGACTTTTGTTAGAAGAGTGATACTTAAAGTGCTGCAGAGGGCATGTGAATCTCCCTCTACCTGGGCATCGGCTTTCTGGATAATGTCTTCAGTATCTCCCAGGTACTGAAGCTTGCCAGCTGTGTGTTTCTGCAGCTGCTTTTTATTGAAAGACACAATAAACACTACAGTCGTGTAAATCCTCTATAAACAGCTGGAGCAAAAGCCATCCCTGCACCCTGTTCAAAGTTAAACACCGTACTAACTCCCTAACCCCTCTCTACTAGCTTGTAAATTAAGTATAATGCGAATAGTTCCCCTTTTGTGGTTTGAGATCGTCTAGTGAGGAGCATTATATATTAGTAAAGTCCAAACCATTAAAAATAGTTACTTATTTCTCCTAGTTTCTGAGCCATCATTTCCCATCCACCTCCATTGTTCCCAGCAAGCAACTAAAATAATTAACAGCAGACAGCCTATTAAGAAATGGAAAGTGTTTTGGTTACTTGCTATTTGTGGCTGTGCATTGTTCAGCATGGGAGAAGCCAGCCGCAGCTGGCAGAATTTTCTGCTCACCACAGACATTTTGCCTCCAGTTTTTACCAGATTCTGAATCTGGAAAAGGTCTCAGATTGTCCAATTCTTCCAAATTTCAATGGCCAAAGTTATGGAGTCCACAGTGAGTAACTTTCTCAATGAGCTCTGCTGAAGTGCCTTAATTCTTTTCCTGTTTAAACCAATCTTTCCTTCTCCCACAAATTATCCCCAACTCCTCCTGCTACCCCATGGAGTCCCTTTTTAGTAGCGTTAAGTTTCTCCTCATCCTCACTCACCAGGTTTCCCCTATTACCCAGGAGAGGACGGAACTCTCCTCAGCCCTGCTGTTATTGCCAATACGTCTGGTTATTATCTTCTATAGCAGTGTCCTGATTTAGTTCCAGCTGTGCTGTCACCAGCCCGTTTTCTCCCTACATGACCTAACATCCTTGCGCTCCTCCTGGGGTGACAGGCCCTTCTTCCACAGGTGATAGCTTCCCTTTTTCCCTGATTGCTGGCGCTATCTCCCTGTTCAGCCGGGCTGGTCTCTTCCCCACCAGTATGATTTTCGGTGCACAGGGACCTCCTGCTCCTGTGCAGATATCAGGCACTTGGTTACAATTTGCAAGATCAATAATCTTGTCTCTCTGTTTCATTTTCTGGATCACCACTGAAAAGCTCAGAAGGTTTTCGACTGGATTGTGGCATTCTGCAAGAAACAGTTCCCTCCCTGCTGCTTTTTCCCCTGGTCTATTTCTGGCCCGCGTGGTGCAGAGGATGATTTCTCCCTGGTGAAAACCAGCAAATGAATTCTAAAAGCACACATTGTAATTTGTTAGGAGTGAAATACGCTCCACACGCCTCCCGAGTGATGTGCCTGAAACCCCGGGTACCGCGCACGGTGCAGAAGAAGGCTTTTTTTGTAAGGTTTTTTTGCTCTTTAATGACCTGTGCCTAGAATGCTAAAACTGAAACCTTGCTCTGGGTGGTCTTTATTTTTGGCTGAAGCCTCCTAATAGTTCCATAAATATTAATTCATGAAGAACGCAGAACGCAAGTGAAAGTAGAACTGACCGCTTTCTCAGAGTTCTCGTATTACTTAAACTCTATTATTATCATCATCATCATCATCATCATCATCATCATCATCATCATTATTTGCTAATATAACAGCGGGAATACTGTTAAAGAAATTAAATGGGACTTTTATCATTGGAGAAGTTTGTGGTTTGCTTACTTGGATCCAAAAAACCACCCAACTGAGCACATGCAAATAACTTCAGGAATAAAGTGCAACAGTTCTGCTTTTGACACCAGCCCCATTTGTTCCCTCTGCAATGTTTTGCCAGATATTTCAAGAGCAGCCTCACAAGGGAAGATTAAATGTGTGTGTTTTTATAAAACAATGACATCTTGTTTTCAAAGCCCTGCAAGCTTAAAATGGATATTAGATCAGTCACATATAAACTGCAGTTCCCAAGGACAACTGTTTAGCTTAAGTGCCATTTAATGTTCTCCTAAATGGTTCCGCTGTTTAGTGTGCAATATATCTTCTAGATTAGACCTTTAATCCTTTACATTCTGCTTGCTGTGTCAAAGAGGGCTTCGTGCCAACTTCTTCCTATTGGTGGGTCTCTTTCTCCCTCTTTCAACAGGCACAGGAGGAACATCAAAGTCTCATGTTTTGCCTCTTTGAATCCAAACAAGAAATACAGTTAAAAGTTTCTGTGAACTAAAACCTTTAAACAGTTGAATTCGCATTTCCCCCTTTATTTCACTTTAATTTTAGTGCTTTTATGAGCACAAAGAAGTAGAACAAAGACAAAAAATACTTTACAAAGTACTGTTTTTTTAATAAATTAAAAAATTGATGTAGGTAAGCTGGGTGCATATAAAGTCTATGGAGCCTCCAGATGGCCACAGCTTTCACACCTCAGTGCCTTGAGGTGAAGGGAACTCAGTGACATTACAAATGCAATACACAAAGCAGAGAAATGATCTACCTGGTGCACCACGTTTAAGGAGAGCAGGGATGAAACTAAGCCCATCTTGGACGCTTAAGGCAGCGGTTCAGTGGACTAACCAGAAGACCCCCGTTACTGATGGACTTTAAGCATTAAGTACTGCTTTGCAGCATAAGTCAACAGTGTGTCTCCAGAAGCTAGCTCTGAATTTCTTAGTCTTGGCTATGCTTGCTTTTGCTCCTGAGAGGAAAATAAATTTGCCCTGTATGGCCTAAAAAAGCAAAACCATCTGCTGGTATTATGAGCAGGCCTATTGTCCGAGTTCAGCAGCAGGGAGGTCTGCACTTGTTCACTTCTGCTTTCCTGCTAAGCACGGAGAAAGCCTATGGGGATCATTATCAAGACTCCCTAAAGCAGGAGGGGAATGAATCCACCAATCCAACCGAGCCAGAAAAGCCCACCCCCCCACCCCCACCCCGATGTCCTGGATGGTATCAAAATATTCTAACATGGAGGGAGCCCACATTTGGGAACAAGTCTGGGATGCTTGCTCCAAAGCCACTGATGGACATTAGCCACGGGCTAAGGGAAGGGCTCTGCTTCTGGGAAGGCTGGCTGTGGTAGCTGTCAGCTGGAGACATGCAAAGGGACTCGGTGGGTGGTGAGGAGGAAAACATGACGGTGCAGCTTGGTTAGAAGAAATCCCACCTCACTTGGCCCGAATCATTAACCTGAACATCTGTCTGAAGGAAAGAGAATGTTCTGCTGCTTACTGACACCCACTAGAGTTGCTTCGTTAGCTCCAAAATGGTTGTGTTCAGATACCTGAGGCCCAGTGTAGTCATCCTCACCTGCAAACAGGCAAGCTTGCTTTGTAATTAGGGGCACTGAGAAGATAAATACATTTCAGTTATCATTTACTTGCATTTCTGTTACTTATCTGGGAGCACATGAGTAAGAAATACATTCCATATTTGGGTCCAGATGTACACACACCCAAAAGCAGAAGTATGTCTGAGTTTCCATTATCAGGTGTTACTCACTTTTGGATTTGACTATTAACAAAACATGTAGCCAGATGTCAACTAACAGAGAATAAATGGGGTCCAAGGAGCTCTGACTAGGAAAGAAAAGAGACAAAACCCCCTCCTGTAAGCACAGGACCTCCTGGTCTCCATCCCAAATGCAGTTTCTGCCAGCACTGAGGAAGTATCCATTCAATCCCCAAGTTTCCTTATGGCCCCTAAATCTTTTCTTTATAGGCATAGGAGGGTAAAATAACATGGGCTGTGTTCCCCTGTTGCCATTCACTTAATACAACTACTTCAGTTGGTTACCAAGTACTGAAAGCTTTCCAAACCTGCCTGACCGGCCTGTAAGAAAAGGCCTTCCAACTTTGAGCCTTTCCATTCAGAGCCAAGCCCCAAGACACAACCCAAGCCCAATTTCCCAACCAATTTCAGGCTCTATAGGAAAACATTACCACTAATGTAATTATAGTCCTAATAGAATCAGAAGCCTGGTGATGGTTTTCAATACAGTGTTGTTGTGAAGGTGTTCATGGAGGACTGATTAAGATGTTGATGTGGTAGATGCCCTGGCAAAGGGAGAACAAGTAACAACTGCATTTGTTAACAGGATACGTTCTTTTGTCCATAGAAAGTTGTTCGGTTTCTTGCAACCATCAAGTGACTGCAGATGGAGGATTAGCTAAATTAACACCGTAAGTAAGTTAACACTGTAAGTAAGGTGACTTACTCAACAAAATGCCAGTAGATAGGGTCATTGGTCTCTGGCTGAAAGCATACACAGCTCTGCTAGTGATAAGGGACTGTAACAAAAATAGAGCTGTCAGGAACTGTGAGGCAAGGCAAAGCATGCCCATCACACTCTGGACAGAGGTTTTACTTACAGATATTAACGATACCATTAAAGATGTCGTTAAAGATACCTGTGACGAGACTTTGTATTGACTTTAGCAATCTTTTCCTGCACTTGACTTCCCTCAGTAAAAATGCTGCCCTAAAAACATTACTCTGATCTTTCTTATCACAGTATTTCATGCTCCTACTTGAACATGTCATTTTTTTGCCCTATCTGCCTTGCATGTGGGGATTAGCTTGTTCCCTTCCACTTTGCAACAATCTTTCGTATCCTTGAATACTGTTTATCACAACTCCAGTCAGTCTTTCTTCCCTGTGCTAACAGGCAGTGGAAATGCTCAGTTAACAGGAAGATGCTGAGCTGCCTTCCTATCAGCCCACCCTCGTCTTCACTGAGATAAGCAGGATTTGGAGCTCTGGTGAATTTTGCCCCCGGAGGGACTTCCCAGGATAAAGCACTGCTGAAGCTGTTCTAATTTATCTTGAGGATATAACTGGGTAGCGGATAATCAGAGTGGGGGGCATACAAAGATAGCCGGGCTGCTCCTCCTGTGCCTCTGGTGTGTGCTGCATGCTGCTTTGGAAACCCAGAGCATAAGCGGTGATTTGGCACATTCTGCCCAAAAATGTAGTAGTGATATCCAAGGACTTTGGCTGTGAGATACCAACCAGATGTTCTTCACAGTTTTCTTGAAGGTCATTTAACTATTCCATTAAATTTCCCACTGTCTCTATAAGATGATCCATGTATCTGTTTAAAAAGAAAACATCAACATAGAACTTACTTTTCAGACATTGCCAGAATAAAACAGGGTCTAAAGACTTGACAGGCTTTAAATTCAGTATTAACACATTCATGGATAATGTGAAAATGGTGGTCACACCAGGAAGGGTGTGTATTAATGACAGCCTATCTCTATCCATTCTTAAATATTTTCCTGAATGTATTATTTAAAGACTTTGGGTTAGACTCACTAATGTATCTTGGCTGCTTTGTGCAGCTCGAGTGATGCAAAACAGCTACAAACCAATTTAATCGGTTGGTTAACCTCAGTTTATGACTTCTTTGTGCTTCTGCAGGGGTGGAAAATAGCCAAGCTGTATCTGGTTCTCAGTCTCTTATTAATCAAAGGTATCCATTTGCCTCCCAGTAAGGCAGTTTGTGTGCTCTATAATACACCTTAATCATCATATTTTTTACTTATATTCTGATATCTAATAATTTTAATTTATAGCAAGCTTCAGTCTTAATTTTACAAAGTGGTGGCGGCCATCCATTTATATACCGGTAGGTATATTGGAGAAAGACTTGAAAGGAGCACACAACCTCTGCCTGAGAAAGCCTTTTAGATGGCACTATTCATTGAAACAGTATGTTTAAAAGTAATTTCAGCAGATGCGTGTAGAAAGCCACCCACTAAGCACTTGCTCTTTGTGTGCATATGAAGGCATAACCGTACTGATCCTTAAAAAGAAGAAAACCTCCCAGATTTCACAGATAACATCTTTCTTACTGAGTAGGCTTCCCATCAGCTATAAAGAATAAAAAGGACAGATGCACCAGATGTAGGGATAGATCCACGTTAGTGGGAGCCTGTAACAGAAAAGTGCATTCATCTGAAATAAGCCATTGTGTGTATGCTGAAGCCTGGAGAGCTGTGGATGTCCAGGCTTTCTTCCTACGCACAGCTGCAAAGATAACACTGTCTACTGTTCAGGGCTCCATGGGGAATTCCTCGTAACAGTCCTGTTCTTTCAATTCTCATTAGGGCTTACATCCCCTTTTCAATGGATGATCGACTCACTAGCTGGGTCAACTGCTGGCACAAATCCCATCATCAGTTGTAATTTTAACTTGACAACATCATTCTTGTAGTGAGAGAGCATGTTGGGGCTTCACAGTGAGCCTGGCTGGATCATTTTCCCTTTCTATGTCCCTATACTGCATGAAAGAATTCTTCCGTTCTTACCTTCAGCTGCTAAAATGTCCGTGGTGATGATGACAGAATTGTACCATGCAGTAAAATAATGACAACGATAGGATAAACTCAAGCTGAAAATCTCTGAAGAAGAGATCTAGATGCATAGGCCTTTATCTGAAGCTTATTAAAACCACTGAGGGGTTTCTCCATCAGTTTTAGCAGGCTTTGGATCTGGCCCTGAATTATTTACTAATGACTAAAGCAGGCAGCGCACTTTTTCCAGTTGAGACAAACCTTCTGAACCTGCCAATTGGAAACTGCACAGGGATGGTACCTTCTGGTTTCTTTCAGGAACCGCTGCTCTTACAAAGAGAGCACTCCTAGCCGGTAGCATTCAGAGTTTTCACAACTTCAACTGAGTGTCACATTAAAAGCAGTTTTCAGGTCACCCAAGCTGTGGTGGTAGATGTCTCCGGAGATCAATTCTGCAGAAGTTGTGCTTCTCGAGATTCCACTGCTCTGCCTGGAGACTCGCAGCACAAACTCTTTGCTAGACTTCCTCAACTACAGAAGGGTTTCTAATGATTTCTTATGAGACACCATACTTTGGGCTGTGCAGCTCAAGCCACATAGAGTTTGGCAGGGAGGTTGTCTGAGGTGGGGATGGAGCAGCCCAGACAGATAGGTGCTTTGAGATAAGAGTGAAGAATAAAGCTTGTCTGACAGTATTAATGGCCAGAATCAATCCTGTAAGAGGGGCATTTGAACAGGTTTAAGCTTTGCAATCTACCTCTGAGTTAAAATAAGGGTTGTCTCCCCCAGTTCCTGATGAGGGTACCTGTATGATTTTAACTGGAGCAGTGCAGGCTTCATCCTTGCATTGGCCTCCCTCTACGTGGGAAATGGAAGTGAAGTCCACACTGAGACCACAAACCAGATTTCCCTGTCAGTAGCACTGATTTAAGTGGAGATGCTGCTGCAAAAGCAGCATGCTCAACTTACTTGGGAGAAGGTGGTGGAAGTGAGAAGGGAGTTAGATTCAACCTTTTCCAAGAAAACATGCAGAATGTTTGATGTCTGAAAGTGTGCTACAGAAGAAGTGCTTGCTGTTGGTACTGGTATAAATCCTCACCCTTTGAAACGCGAGACTATTAAAAGTCAGCTTTAAAACCTGTTTGGATTATCTTAGCGCATTCAATAGTTTTATCATTTTCTGTTGTTATTCTAACAAAGATCAAGTAGCCCATTATTCCACAGATGAAGTGCTTTGAAGAGTTTTGGACTGGAGTCTCAGTGGAATTATTAGGTGTTGCCCTGAAAGGTTGTGGATGGAGAAATCTGTCAGCCTACGAAAGCTATGTATGCTCAGGAATAAATATATCAGCAGGAGTGAAATAAAGGCTCAAATGGAAAGAAGAGGGAAGCAAAGAGAATTCCTTTTCATTCACCAGCTATTTAGTACGATTGGATTTAAATGACTACTAATTTTTTCCAAGTTAACTACCCCTGAACAGACTTAAATACCCCATTTGAGTCATTCATGCTGAGGCTTAGCATTTGCTACTGGACGGTGTAGCAAAATCAAACAGCCCATAAAGTATCTGCAATAACCTCACAGCAGCTTTTGCACCCTTGTTCCCCATCAGGGGACCACTTGGATGAGAATGGGAGTTGCATTTCTTCATACTATCCCGGGAGTGCTTGGGATTTTGAGTGACGCTTCATCTGTATGACCAGGATGGTCAAAGAGTCATTAGAGGAGGACATCCTCTCTGCATTCTTGGCCGCAGACTCTTCAGTGTCCCAGATATTTGGCTGTCTCTGTGGTTGATGACATTTAAAGAGCTGTTCTATATGCTCCAAGAACTGAGACTGGGTAGAAAGGAATAATTTGAGGCATACAACGACTGGTGGGCTGCTTTTATTGATACCCAAATCCGGGATTTTTACGGACAAGAGCTGAAATGTCAACCCCAAATATCCTTGAGTGTGGGGAAAATCCAGCTGTGGATAGGGGAGTTTATCTCACTCCTGACTGTGAATAACACTGAAAAACCAAACTCACTGACCTAAAAGTACCACCACGTTTACAGTTAGCTGAACTGGACTCCTCGCTTAATGCCTTCATTTGGGCAGCACCTCAGATGTTAAGTGGGGCTGTTTTACAAATCTGCAATTGTATTTAAAATCAGAGAATCCCAAACTGGTTTGGGTCGGAAGGGACCTTAAGATCATCCATTTCCAACCCCCTGCCATGAGCAGGGATGCCCTGCACTAAACCATGTCACCCAAGGCTCGGTCCAACCTGGCCTTGAGCACTGCCAGGGATGGGGCAGCCACAGCTTCCCTGGGCACCCTGTGCCAGCTCCTCAGCACCCTCACAGGGAAGAGCTTCTGCCTTAGATCTAACCTGAATTTGCCCCATTTCAGTTTGAGCTGCTGCTCCATCCAGCTCCACTTAGCTTATGATTTGCTGCCAGTGAAGCTGTGTCAGCCTGTGGTGTTGCTCTCAGGTTGATAGTGACAGACCATTCCCTGTGGGAACAGCAATACATACGGTAAGGCATGCACTGACTTAGCAAACCTGATGAAGAGAAAACGTTAGCTGTCTGGCAAGATCTTAAATTAAATGGTAGTAAATGGCCTATTTTCCATTCATGGTCTCAGTTGGAATTCAAGGGGCATTAATCATTTTGTTGGCAGGTCAGCAAAGGATTCCTTAATATTGTGACAGGATTTTGTTGACTTAAGAGGAAATGGCCTGTAAATCAGATAAGAACTCCTCTAATGACTGACCACATGTATATGGGAGAAGCGACAATGAAGCTGGAATCAGTTTTTCCTATTTCTACGCTGACCATGCACACAGCATCTCTTCCACTGGAAGTGTTCGTCTATAAGGCTGAACAGAAGTCCTCACTCGTGAAACAGCATGGGAGGTAATCTAAAGAAAAGGGCTTACACAGCTGCCCAGGGGTGGTTCGCTGATTCTTTTCCCCCCCCGTGCTACAGTATTATAAAACTAC